AAACTCAAGGTTGCATCTACAATAGACTTTTCAGCCATAGCTGAGAGTAGATTTAAATTGTCGGTTGCCCCTAACCTTGTTAGAGACTCATGCTGTCGAGTGGCTGAAGGAATGGAGGGTGAAAGGGTCCTAGTGCATTCTCCTGAAAGAAAAGAAAAAGGTGTCTGAGCTAGAGAAAAAATACAGGAAAACTGCAGGTTTTTTTTTAGAAAGGTGTAGTTTGCAAGAGATGAATTTACTTCATCTAAATTATCCTTAATGAGAAGCTAACATGGTAGCTTATGAGTTTAACAAATTATCCAAAAAATTCAAGAGGGAGCTGAATTTCAGATGGATAGGGAAATGTCTCCTTGCAATCCTATCCAACATTGGGGAGGGAGAGGGGATGGTGCTCTCTCATAGCTCAGTCAATTTAATCAACCCTGATTACCTAATGGGATTCTCCATAGCACCCTGTGGTCCTAGAGCTACATGAAACTCTTCTGGGCATCTTCTGAGACTCTTGTGAAACAGAAGGATGTGATTGGCGCTGTGCTTGCTGTGGTCACAGGAGGGTTCCTCACACTGTTCCGCAAGTTGATGTGGGAGCACTAAGCAAACAGAATGGAGTTATGAGGATCCCTCCTTAATTCTGCATCTCAGTAGCTGTAGAAAAGAAAGTGGAAGAAAAGAAATGCCAACATTCCTGCCTATCAACTAGGATGGGGGTAAGCAGCAAAGCGGGAAGGAGAGAGAGAGAAAAAAATAGATGGTGTTGAATGGATAACACAAAATAATCATGATGTGGTGTCCAAATATTTGCAACATTTGCATCATGGTGTTACATCAACACATGGTGCAGTCATGTTGAGCATCACAAAACAATGCCAGGGCATCACTTCATGATTAATTCATGGCTCTCTGTGACTCCATTCGTTGATGAAGTGGCTGTACAGCTCTGTAAGGCTGATTGCCACTGCCCAAATCTTCACTCAGCAATGACATTGAACTGAAATCTTCTGGAATTTTGAAAAATGTTGGTATATTATTTTAAGAGCATGTTTAATACAGCTGTACGCCTGATATTTTGGGTTTTGAAAAAAATGGAAATACATAACCGTCATAAGAAAGGCTCTTCTCACAGTATTTTCAAGTTGGACAAAATCAAGTCATTTTGCAAACCCTACTCTAAGGCTTTATACTTACCCCATTTACATGGTGTTTAACCACCTCTGGGGTATCTAAATACCCCATCACCCAACAGGTTTGAATAATTTTTTGGGTGCTTATCCTATTGAAATTGGATGCCAAATCTGTGGAGAATCACTTATTACTAACTAGAGCTTGGTGAATAGTTTGACTTTTTGGTTCAGTTGCCAAACCGAAGAATTGAAAAAAATATTCATTTTGGGTTGAACAGAACGTTTTGTTTGTCCTGAAACTAAATGTTTTGTTTCATATCCAGGTGTTTTTTACCCTTTTGTTTTGTTTTGATTGTTTAGATAGAGCTAAACTTTGAAATAAAACATTGTTTCGGAATGAAAAGCTGAAACATTTCATTTCCAAAAAAGTCAAAACATTTTGTTTTGACATTTTCAAATTCTACCCCTCCTCTTTTCTTCACCTGAAAACTATTTGCCAAATTTTACCTAAATTCATGAACAGTGTCAGTCAACATGAAACTGCATTTTTCAATGCAAAAACTATTGGCCAAAAAAAATGTCACCCAGATCCACTTATTACTAAAGAACCTCCTGGTCCCAAGTTATAGGCTTGAAATAGCTGTGCTTGTAGGTATGCTGATTCATTGGAATAGCCACATAGCTGTACATATATATACAACACAGTGTTATTTCTACACATTTCTCATTTGAATGCAACACCCTTATTTTGCCCTGTACAGAGCAGTTATTCATTTCCAAATAGAAGCCTACATTTTCTTGAATTCATAAACTATAAACTATATTAAATAAACTGCAAACTGACTGATGATGAGTGCTGCTCTTATAGGCTAATTTCTCTTCTAAACTGTGCTATGAACATTCTAGCTAATGGGCTGGTGACAAGACTAAACAGGGATAATAGCAGACTTAATAAAGAAAGACAAATGGGATTCATTAAAAACTGGCATTCAGCAGATAATCTTTGGAGAGTTCTCACCTCAATCTACATGACCCCATCAAAAATAGAAGTCTTATGCTGTTTTTATCAGTGGATGTTGAGCCAGTCCAATTGAAATCCATAGCTGAGATATTAAATACATTTGACTTTGGGCTGGAGATTCTCTGTTTCTAAGATATGTCCTCCTTGGGGAAGGGGGTGGGGGGGTTCCGAGCTATTCACAAGGTTAAAAACATACCCACTATTGCTATTATTTTTCCAATTTGTATTGTTTGTACTTCAACCTCTTATATATAGCATAAGAAAACATCCCCAAATTAAAGGCTCTTGGCTAATAACACTCAGTAAAGTCTTTGCACCTTATGTGTAGAACATGTAATGCACTGCTTAATCTGCTGAGGCCCAATGCTGGGGAAAAGAATGACAATGAGAGAGAGAGAGAGAGAGAGAGAGAAGAAATCTAACAATTAGATCCCCAGGCTTTGGCAGGTTCAGTGTTTAGAATTCAAATCCAAATTCAGATCCAAATTTTACAGACAGCCTTTATATCTATAATACACCAAGTTAAAACCATAATTCAAACACCTTCATAATTTGGGGTGTTAAATCCAGATTTAGCTCTGAATTCTCTGGCCCCACCTCTAATAATAATGCAAGGAACTTAAAACAATGTACGTAGGTGAATCAGTTTTCTCTAATAGCTTTCTTTTATCATGTTAAAAGGTAAGATATTACCAGTTTGAGCAGGTATTTCCCTAGCCCCTATAACAGAATACATCTCAAAGCAGTAACATTTGACCTACAGGTGAAATGCTGTTGTCTAACTGCACTACTATAACACAGAGGCTTCCATGTTCTGGTTGGCCATTCTCTTAGATTACACATTTGGTCCAAGCACTGGGGAAATCAGTATACTGCTTCTGTTCTAACTTCTCTCTCTCCTTTTGTGCTGGTCAGTTTCAGGATTCTGTCTCTATACCTGAAATCCATGACAGAAATGACTACCTTACTGGTTTGCTAAGGGCCAAATCCAGGATCCACTGAAGCCAACAGAAGGACCACCATTGTCGTCAGTGGATTTCACATCAGGACCCAAAACCTGTACTCATTCTCTGTTTTGGTAGCCTTCTCTTATTGTAGGCACTCCTCGTTTCTCTGACACTGTAGCCTTTGTTCAGAAAAGGATTCCCCTTCTTCTCATTCCTTCCCTGATAGGGAGCCTAAGATTCTGAGTTTATTTGCTCTCATCTGGCTAGCTAATACCTTGTTCTGCAGTAGCTTATGTACTGCCACCACCACATCCAATCTGTGGGAAGTCACATGGTTTTCTCATTATGTTCTTCAAGCTTTGTTCTGAGCAGGACACATTTTGTTTTGAAGTATACAAATATGTTTCAGCTGGCTGCACCTTCTTCAGCATGTGGCCATACATAGTGCCTAAATTTGCTAAGGCAGTTTGAACATAGTCTGATTGCTAATTAATGTCCTTTAATAATTCTGACCTTTCAAACTTGTCTTCTAGCATTGCTATTATAGAGGCCTGCTGTGTGTATGCTTACTTCTGATAGGGTTTATCTCGCCTGTGACTCTTCTATTATCACTGGACCTCCAGCCAGCATAAGCATTGCTCTTTGGATTGGAAATAGTCCTGGCTGGCATTTTAGAGTTGCTTTTAGGCATTTTTGCTAGCTTGGTTTTAAATCTCAGCCATCACAGTTTACCCTTGTAAAGAAAATAGTGATGGTGATGGGTGGTTTGTTAATAAGTGGGAATGACCAAAAAAGCTTTAAGAGTGCTGCAAGTTTAGCTGCTCTGTGTTCATTTGGCTCCCCTGCAAGCCCCATCCATATAATGTGAAGCCTTTTCCTGATAAGAGTATGTCTACACTGGAACTGGAAGCATGCCTCCCAACCTGGCTAGACAGATTCACACTAGTAGGCTCCAGCTAGTGCATGAAAAATAGTGTGAATGTTGCAGCTTGGGCTCTCAAGCCTAGGAGGCCAGGTGGGTTTGAAAGCCCGAGCCACAACATTCACACTATTCACGACATCTGGGCTGGGGGTGTGGGCTCTGGGGTGGGGCTGGGGATGAGGGGTTAAGGCTGCAGGAAGGGGCTCTGGGTTTGGGGAGGGTCAGGGATGGGGCAGGGGATTGGGCCGTGGGGTTGGGGCATGGGCTTATCTCTGGCAGCTCCTGGTCAGCAGCACTGCGGAGGGTGCTAAGGCAGGCTTCCTGCCTCTTCTGGCACCACAGACCACGCTGCACCCCAGAAGCGGCCAGCAGCAGGTCCGGCTCCTAGGTGGAGGTGCGGAAGCAGCTCTGTGTGGCTCTCACTCACAGGCACCACCCCCTCCAGCTCCCATTCGCCTGTTTCTGGCCAATGGGAGTTTGGAGCCAGTACTCGGAGCAGGAGCAGCGCGTGGAGCCCCATGGCTCCCTGCCTAGGAGCCAGACCTGCTGTTGGCCACTTCCGGGGCACAGCATGGTGTCAGAACAGGTAGGAACTAGCCTGCCTTAGCCGGGCAGCACTGCCGATGGGACTTTTAATGGCCTGGTTGGTGGTGCTGACCAGAGCCACTGTGACCCAGCGCCTTCCATTCCACAACCCAGTTCTGGGTCATGACCTATGGTTTGAAAACCACTGATCTAGTCCAGTCCCCGGAACTCAAGGCAGGACTACATAATAACTGGAGCATTCCTGACAGGCAGTTGTCTAACCTGTTCTTAAAAGCCTCCAATGTATGGACCTATCATCTCAGTCCTAAATATAATCCTTCCACGTCAAGCTTGAGGCACCAAGCTGCTGGCCATACACAGCTATTCTTTGCATTTAGGTCTTGGATCTCCGAGGCTATTAAGCCAACACCTTTCACAAATACTACAAATGCAATAACACTTACACAAGGTTTGTCAGTTGAGCTTAAAACTTGAAGTTGAGTCAGTTGAGAGGCTTGGTATGGCAGCTAGTATTCTCTATTTTTATCCTCCATCAGTCATCAGGATCCCCAATAATATCCTTGGCTGGATCAATATAGTGGTGTTTCTGGTTTCATGGTTAATTCAGAAAGTGCTGCAAAGGAATAAAAATAGGTGTGAAGCCTAACAATGCTATGATCTTACACTGGAGAAAAGATAGCATGTTCACAAACCAATGTAACTCCTCAACACTTTAAGAACAGGGAATAGGACAGTAGTCTGTCTAGGTTGGTTCTCATATGGCCCTCATTACTATAGTATCTGAGCATCTCGAAAATATTCATGGATTTATCTTCACTTCTATTTCACAGATGGGGGAAAACTAAGGAGAAAAATTAAGTGATTTACCAAGACTTCCAAGGGAACGTATGTCAGAACTAGGACAGGAATACAGGAACCCCTAATTATCAGTCGTAGGCTTTGTCCAGTAGACCATGCAGCCTCTCATGCCATCAAATTGCCCCATTTTGGGGCAGACAACACATTGACTGGTCAGCAGAACAACTGACTCTGCCACTGATGGCTTTATGCCTGCCATATGCTTCCTCCCAGTTGGCTTCCTGTGGCAATCAGGCAGCACTGCACTTCACAGCCACAAACAGATTTGGGGTCTTCTCAAAAAAGGAGGAACTTGTGGCTTCAGTTTTCACACAGCCTAATGGCTAGCCCTGGGAGGCTGCCCTGGGGACTGAGAATAACTTTATCTTTAGGAAAAAAATAGTGACACACCTTCAACCCCAGTGATGGCTTTACATTGATGTATATCAATTCATGTTGTTAAGGTGATACATACGGGAGAGGGATAGAAACTTGTTTGTAACAAAATGAAAGCTGAGAATCTCCTTTACATTTGTGGGCCCTCCAAAACTAGGCTTTAAGGGCTTGATAGTCCCCAAAATCCAGGTCTTATGAACCTAAGATTCATCGTTTCCTGTTATGCACTTAGATGAACAAAAGGGGCCTTAAATTATTTTGCTTGTCATGGCACCAAAGTTTCATGTATCATCTGAGATTTTTTTTTTTTGCAACTGTAACAATGCTGCACCTGTACAGTAAAGTGGCAAACAGAATAAAGCCAAGTGCCAGAAAGCAGCTATAACCATATAAACATGAAAACTGATAGGATATATCAGTGTTTCTCAAACTAGGGACGACACTTGTTCAGGGAAAGGGCGGGCCGGGCTGGTTTGTTTACCTGCCGCATCCACAGGTTTGGCCAATCACGGCTCCCACTGGCCGTGGTTCACCGCTCCAGGCCAATGGGGGCTGCGGGAAGCAGCACGGGCCAAGGGATGTGCTGGCCACCCGTCCCGCAGCCCCCATTGGCCTGGAGCGGTGAACCGCGGTCAGTGGGAGCCATGATTGTCCGAACCTGTGGACGCGGCAGGTAAACAAACTGGCCCAGCCTGCCAAGGGCTTTCCCTGAACAAGTGGCACCCCTAGTTTGAGAACCACTGGGCTATATGGATAAAAAGAGAAACATCCCAATATATAGCTTTCAGCCACTATAAATGACAGAAGAGGTGTACAAGACCTCCATTCTGTGTGCAGGTTTTACCAACACATTATCAAAGCTTAAAGAACAGATAATAGTCTTGCTTCACTCCCAAAGTGTCTCCATGGCTTTATCACTGACAGTGGACCCAGTGATATAAAAACAATGTGAGGGAGAAAATGAACACATATGCATGAACTGCACCTTGCTTGAACTAGCTTACACAGTATATGATTGTCTTAAGGAGCGCCACTTTACTAACATCCTGTGTTAGAGATGCAAAACGTCTGCACCAATTAAAGTCACTAAATGAAAGGCTGTAGAATGCATATAGGAAAAAAATCTAGTCGAACACAAATTGAGATACGAAATGCCAGACTGAGAGAGACTTCTCCCTGTGTGATTCAAGGCCATATACATGTACACTGGGGCATGCACAACAGGAAAAGCAGAGACGTTGCTATAACATCTAACCATTGTGTATGTTTGGAATTTTGTTGGGCACTTGTGGCAAGTTTAGGAACCATGGAAAGAGGCCACATCAGACAACAGAAAAAAAAAGCAAAACAAAAAACAAGCAAAACCAGGCCTATCAGTCTTTTGACAAATACCTGCAGACAGGACATTAAAAAAGATGAATTTCGGCCCTGAGATTGGTGGATGTTTTATAGTATGTGCTACGTTTGACAATGAAAAAAGCACATCTGTCATACAAAAGACCCATGACTGCTGCATGTTAGAATAAACCTCAGAGCAACTGAAGTGGCTAACAGCTCATTTCCTTCTAATTCCCATTAAACAATATAGTAGATGACTATTGTGGTGCCCTAGCATGTGTGTGTGTGTGTGTGTGTGTGTGTGAGAGAGAGAGAGATGGCAGAAACCACTGTCATGTAGGGACATTGCCACTGTACATTCATAGTGTGTGACACTAATTAGTGGGGGTTAACATGTGTGTGTGCTCAGCACCTAAGAGGTTCTCTTCCATGTTTCAGACAAGGCAAGGAGTTTGCATCTCTGTGGTATAAATCTGGGAATTCATTCAAAGGTTCAGGCTGGATAATTCTATAAGGCAGAGTAGCTGTGAGATTCAGATGACCGGAAGAGAAGACTTGGACATGTGGCCTGTCCTGATTATATTGTATCTGCTGCAGTTTCTCCAGCCTATAGCTGGAATGCAGTAGGGAATGTTCGTAAGCAACAAACAGTTGTAAGCAAAACCACAATGTGGAGAATGACTGATAGATATTCTTTGCAGTAAAGAGGGAGAATCTTCCTTGCTGCTCCAGTGACTGCTGAAATAGAGCCAGATCCAGCAAACACATGCACCCATGAGCAGTGCATTGAGTTCAGTGGGACTATTCATGTGAGTAGTTACATGCAAAACTGTTTGAAGGAAGGCCCATAGTTTCTGATGATGTTTGTGATGTTAGATGTATAGAATCCATTCAGAATAAAAGGCTACATTGTAGTGAAAAAATCCAATCTGGCCATAAATCTTGTAGCATCTCTGATCTGCCCTGACCTTCTGGCTTGGTAATCTAGTGCCCACATATTGCAATGACTGGGAACAGTTAATTAACTACCGGTTTGTTACAACACGTCTCTCTTTTTAGGGAAAGAAAGAATAATTATGAATGTGAGGGAATACAATACAGTATAACTGACATGAAGTTATCAAAGCCTGAGGAGCTAATTTTTTTGTATCCCTGTAAATCATGAAGCAACTGACCAAATGCACTCTAACATCCTCCATTATTGTATTGCAACATTACAGGGCAAATGGGCCTTCCCCTTTGCCCATAATGTCTCATTGCAGATCTCATTGTATCAGACATTCCTTGCTAGATATTATTGCATCCTTCAAATAATAATGACTGGCATCAGAGTCCTATATGTTTCTTCTATGACTAAGTTCTAGTATCTTTCTTAGTTCTAGTATCTTTCCACCCTCAATTTTCCACCCTCAGATCATCCGTTGATTTAAATTGAGCCCATCTTAGGCTGTCTGTCTTGAAGAGTTCAGGGAGGATTATTTTGAAAGAAACAGGATCCTGCCGGTTAGGTGGGTTTGTTCAAGCTTTCACAGCTCTGCTTCTCACATTTGCAGAAGCACAGCACACATTGTGCAGCTCTAACACCACTGAGTACTGCTGATATCTGGTAGTGCCCCCAGTACTTAAAAGCTTTGATTACTGTCTCTGACAGCCACTGAATGATTTTTTTTGAGGGGTGGGGGGGAGAGAAAGGGAAGATGTGAGCTGTCCTTTGACATTTTATGTATGAATCTCACTGTGTTAACCTTTAGAGATAATTTTCTCTGCAGGTGTTGGATATTTCTAGCAAGCATTTTGACAGCGAAGTATCAGTTAATGTTCCTGATAAAAGTAATTTGTTTCAAAAGTTGGGGTGGAGAGAGAACCCCAGTAAAACCAAGACAAATTAGCATCATGATTTTAGATGTAAAGAAAACACATTATTCTTGTACCAATCCTATTATCGTGCAGGCATTTTCTAGTCTATTTTAGAGTACCTCTGCCTGTCCTGATTTTTTCTACTGCTAAGTATTCAAGATGCCCTTCCCCCAGCATTTACAATAGGAAGTTGTTAGTATTTTCCATTCCATGGTCTATCAGATAGTCCAAAGTGAACATTGTTTTTCAGGGCTTTATTTTTTAATTCATTTTGACTACAATTCATTTGACTCTTTTGTGAATTATAGCATTGCAAGGAAAAGATTAAATTGACCTATTTTAGTGTGTACTTTCTGTGACTTTGCACCCCACAAGGCTTTATGGAAATATGCTTATGAATGTATATATAACATAACTGGAATACATTTTATGCTACATATGCCAAGTAACATATCTCTGTATATACTGAATCTATTCATTCTATTTGTATGCATGTATCATTTTTGTATTCAAAGTTATGAATACTGGCTGTGTACTGGTTTGATTTTAAGTAGCCTTAGTAAGGCATTTGGGCAGCTTCTTTAGAAAGGAATTGCAAGTTAAGTGCCCAATCAAGAAACACTTAATGGACAATGGAGATTGGAAGGCTCCAAACCACATAAGAAGTCTACCTGAGGACATTCAAGGTAGCATGTGAACCATGGCTGCAACCCATAAGTTCTGAGTCATGCATGGACATGTGACTCGCCCATGTGACTCCAAAACTCCATCTTGTAGCTGGGATTCTACACAGGGAGAGAGGGAGGGGTGTCCACCCACAAGAGAAAGTCTATTTAAACCTCTAGGAGACCCCTCCATTTTGTCTTCAGCTGGCTCAAGAGATAGCCTCTCCACCCCCAAAGGATACCTAAAAGAAACTGGAACAAAGGACAGTAACCACGGGGGTCTGAGTGATTGCTGGACCCAAACTAGAAGGAGACTAGTCTGTAAAAGGAAGCTTACTGGAACACCTCTGAGGGTGAGGTTTTATCTGTATTCAGTTTTCTTACTGTATTAGGCATAGACTTGTGTGTTCTATTTTATTTTGCTTGGTAATTCACTTTGTTCTTTTTGTTACTATTTGGAACCACTTAAATCCTACTTTCTGTATTTAATAAAATCACTTTTTACTTATTATTTAACCCA